TTAACTATTACTTCTAAGTCGTATTCATGATCAGGACGGGAGCTTGAACTGCAGTGCCGGGCCGCGCGATCGTGTCCGGTCACAGAGTGTCCGCGGCGCCGCGCCTTTGTGACGGCGGCCGGGCCGTGTCGTCGCCGCGCCGCCGATGGCTCACATAATGCACTTCCTGGGCCGCATTAGCGGCGGCCATCCGTCATTAGCAGCGCTGCCAGGTTAATTGTCTGATGGGATATCCGGCGCCGCGACGTTCAATGCCGGGGGAAGCGCTGACCCCGTTCGGCGACTTTCCAAACAGGGCGCACCCAATGGAGCGCCGGGTGGCACCGCCCGTCCCTCCCAACAGCTGTTTGACCTCGATATTTCGTAGGGGAGAGTGGGGCAAAGCGGCCACCCGGGGCAAAGCGGCCACCCATCGTTTTAGTCCTTCATAGCTGGCGTCTGTTCCAATTTATGGTTTGCAATTATACTTCTCTTCACGGCCGTTCGAATGAGCCAGATCGGGGTTTCAGGCCCATCACCATTGTTCTGTGAAACACGGAAAAGCATTTCTTGCCAGGTTACCAACTATGTTTACAATTTGTAAATGTTATGTTATTCCATAACCGTTTGGAATTTTTATAAGCGTTCTTGTCCATGCATTGCATGGTTATCGTACATGTATTCTACCAATTTTAATGTGTTTTACCCCACTAATAGCTAAGCTGGAATGTTTTTGTCTCGGACGGTATGCGCGGGGCAAAGTGGCCGGGGCAAAGTGGCCACCCCCAATTGGCCATAAGTTGCTTCCATCTGGATAAAAAAAAACATTATTTATATTCAAATGTGTCGTCATGCATTCATCTTGGCCACTTTTCAGTTGCATGAGTTACCAAATAATGCAATTAAATGTTTATTTTCATGAAAGTCCTTTCTTTGTATACATACAGGTGGAAGATGATAAAGTAAACATCCATCCTCGCTTAACCTTGTCACCATCAAATACCCTAGTCGTACACCAGGCAACTATTTTGTTTCTCATATCGGGACTTGAGAAGACGCCGGTGGCCGCTTTGCCCCAGGGTATGGGGCAAAGTGGCCAATATGCATAGGTTTAAAGTTTTGTCAATATCTTTCATATGTGAACGCCTTTGGAAATAAAACGCAGTTGAAATAAAAGGCAACTTAATAGGGATTACATTGGTATAGAAAGAATCTTTCCAAGTTTAAAAATCAAGCATTGACATCGTGAGAAGCGTTAGGGTGGCCGCTTTGCCCCACTCTCCCCTACTTAAAACGATAGAGGGAGTCATACACTGAAGCCTACAACTGAAGCCTACAACTGAGGCCATCTAGTGAATAACGAAAAATGATGGAAGTTAGTGGGTATCGAGGTTCAAGTGGTTACGAACAAAGATGTGCTTTGAATTACTGGTATATTTTCTTTATTTTGCTAAATTTTCGGAATGTTTTTGTTTCAGCTCTCAAGGAATTAATAAAGCATTGACCTACACATCTTATCACATTAAGAACAATTAGCTCAGTCCGCAGCTACTTCAGGACAGGACTTAGCAGCAGAATGCTCTGTCGGCATGGCCTTGCTGAATGCGGATACCAAGGGCGAGTGTCGTCTGATGCGCGTCGGCAGCGCCAACCACCTCTATGCCCTCCAAACACCGCTACTGGTGATCATCTCGTCCGTCCGAGGTCTTTTCGCCCAAGATTCATACAGATGCACTCGCCGACATTAGCACTGCCACAGATACCAGTAGTACCCAAGGCCATCTATAGAAGGTACAGTCACTCCCCCGCCGACCAATCAGAGACAGATCCTGAGTGACGTCACCCCTGATGCTCGCAAGGGGTACTCCATTCCTTTACAACGTAAAAATGACTAACTTCATTTGAAGATTGTTGGTGACACTCTACACATATCGCTCAACCGTTGATGTCATTAAAAAGTCCAGCTAATTTTCAAGCGATAAAAAAGAGCAGCAATATGCTAAGAGATGGCCGGTTTTGAAGATATAGACGATTTAAAAATCCTCTGCAGTTGCAGGAAAGCAACGTAAAAACGCATCGAGCTTATATTTTTACTATGAATAAATCATTTTTCAGTAAGTTTCTAGATATGATATCGATTTATTCAAAAACTTTATTACAATATTTTAATTACTTGGAAACTTTATTTCAAAATAATGTTTTCAAAAATGGCAACTGTTGGCAAGTAGCTTTGAAGCGATTGTGGCGCACCGCGCCATTATTGTCCTGAGGCCCCCTTATGATGTCATCAAAAGTGGAGTGACATGGGCCTGGTAGTACCAGTAGTTCGACTTCGGAGTACCGCCTCATTCTCCAGGAACTGTCGGACACTCGACCAGTTGTAGTTGTCACCTGATAGCTGATATTGTCATTCGTGAAGAACGCATCGGTCTGGCCCTTCATAACCTGCTTCTGGTGTGAGTGGCGTGCCGATACCATGGCTAGTTTCGCTGGCCGCTCGTGCACAGGGGGCATCGCGTAATCCACGCTAGTCAATACTGACAGGACTGTGCTGCTCTTGAGCCGACGGCGCTGTCTCTGCATGCCGATGCGAAATGACCGATCATCTTCGAAATCTTCCTTTCTGAAATGCAGCTCACACACAGCGGAATAGTCCTGATCCCACTCAGCCCCGTCACGGTGACCCATGGCGGCAACCCACTGAGCCCGTAGAGATGTTTCGGTGAGAAAAGCGAATAGGTGGCATGTGAGACATCTCTGTTTTAATCTTTTGTTCCTCTTGGTTCGTTGGGTTGTAGCCAGAACGGCAGTTTTTACCGCTCATTTCCCTCCTCCATTGTTGATGTATCTATAGTCCAGGGGTCGGCAAATGGTGGGGCATGCCCCCTTTGGGGGTAATGGAGCCCTTTCGGTGGGGTAATGAGGGATTCTGAGAAAACCTATCTTTTTAGAGTTTTGATGAAACCATCGTGACTGTTGCATCCCAAGATTAGCCCAGGTCAAAGGCAAAGCACACATTGATTAGATACCAATTTTCACGTAGCTGCTCGCCTCACCATCTCACCACGGCTCCGTACAGTTGTACAAAAGCACCTGCAATTTTTAACCGTCGCCCGTCTGTTGGCGTTTCCTCAGCCGCTAACGTAAGGGGGAGGAGTCGATCGGACCCCCGCGGCCTCTCGGACTCTGAGATGGAGCTTCAGCTGTGCATAAAAAACGAGCGTATTACCCGTGACTATAGGAAACCGCTGCTGCCCATTTTTAAAGGGACTATCCCACCTTCTAAAATGTTGTTAAACCAGTTAAATTGTGCCCGACTTTATAGATTGGATGACCAGGAACACGGTTCTGGCATTTATTTTTCATTAAACATCTTATGCTTCCCATATTCCAAACACAAACTTTCAAATATGTGACGTCACAGCCCAAAATTACCTCCTTCCCCAGGCCACATTACTGTCATCAAGCTGATTCTTTTTACTCTGTAGGCACCACAACAAAGTTCAGACCAAGTTTTAAGCGATTTTTCAACGAACAAACCCATTTAAATCAGAATGACTAATCGAGGTGACGTCACACTAACGGTCGCTCCATATTGAAGATAGGGCCTTGTACAAGGCCCATTTTCAAATGAAGGGAACGAATTTCTTCAACACCAAGAGGCCGCGGGGGTTGCAACCTAGATAGATAATGGTTTCTGAACCTCGCCGCAAACTTGGCTATCTCAACTCAAACCCCATGTTAAAGCTGGGATAGTCCCTTTAAGGTCCTTGGTCATTTCGTCTCATTCAGGTCAAATGTCGAGAAAATCGGGACCCGGTATAACTTCTTTAAGTGAGATTTTATGGCTCAAGATGATCTCCAGAAAAAGCTCATAAGCCAATGATCATTATGGGTCCAGAGGCCAGTTTTACCGACAGAAAAATAGCCGCCTACCGGAATTTTTCGCCTAAAGACCGCTTCACATACGGAGCGTAAACGGTAAAACCCTATCCACTTACATGCTCATCGCGCTTACGCTCCGTATGTGAAGCGGTTTTTAGGCAAAAACTCCGGCAGGCGGCTATTTTTCTGTTGGTAAAACTGGCCCTCAGGTTTTCCCGGGCAGGTAAAGAAAAAAAATGATTGGCTCGAGGGTACAATCTGGTCGTGATCCAACGGCTTTTACGTGAGCTTTTAACGAAAAACCACCCGCCGCCCCTATATGTGCGAGGGTTTAATGGGATATATTAAATGCTTTGTGGAGGAAGTGTCATGTTTTAAATTTGATGCATCGGAAATGCAGAAATATCCAAAGAGTTCCAGAAAGGTATGGAATTTCAGTAAACTTGGTTGTGTCAGCAATGGGGTCTGGTAGGTGGGGGTAATGGCCCTGCCTGGCGCCTAAAAAGGGGGCACAACCCCGAATGACCTGCCGACCACTGATCTATACGTATGTAAGGCTTTGCACCACAATTTGTTTTCAAAAGAAAACACCACGCATTTTGCCCGCTAAATGATCAAATTAAAAGTAAAATACTTTAATTTTTAAGCAAATGAAACATGAAAGTAACATTGGTAGCTTCGATTTTAAATGTAAACGACAAAACACAAAAATGACGATTTCTTGCAATACACAACACACAAATTATCCACCCAGCAGCACGCGAGAATCCCATTTTGGCGCCGTCGCATAAAAACATTCGGCCTCTTACTGCAACTGCCAATATTCTGTTTCCAATCCAGTACTACTGTTATCTGTGGAGTGGCACATTCCTTTCCCTGAGCGGCCCATCATCGGAGTCGGTGGGAGAGTGACTGTATGTTGTACATTATAAGCCCAGGTCCCACTTGATGTGGAGGCCCTTTGCTGCCAAGTGACACTGGAAAGGGCGACCCTACAGATGGGTTCATATGGTCACCCTCACTCGTACACACCTGCGCCAACGTTCCCAAAAGTGGTGGCACTTTTGCAAAGTGACACTCGTTGACTGACTTTTCTATGTGAAATAGACCCGGATCCGGGTGGGCTCTGTACTCACCCTGTGGCTGGATGGCGGCCCTGTCCATCAGAGCGGGCAGCGGTTCACTAACCGCCGGCCTGCCGTCCACCGATACGGGCAGGGAGCTGGCCGCCAGCGCGGGCAGCCGGCTCACCGCCACCAGCACGCAGGTCATCAGCATGGTGCCGCTCACACTGCAACAGCCGGCAAAACACGTTAACCCGCGACCAGCCAGGGAGGGGTATGAAGAACCCCGTCTCATTTAATGTACGCACTATCCAGGTTCCTCGGGTCATCGATGTTAATAAATATGGCACATTCCACGTCAAATCGATCAGGATTTGGTGTTTTCGACCCCTCCCATAGGTCTGTGAATATCTGGACTAGACATAGAAAAGCTGGCCATGACCACAACGGCCCTAAAAGTAAGCGCTCGTAACTGGAAAGTCAGTTTACCTGCGACATCCATTTTTCACCGCCGCATAATACACACCATTCATTAAAAATGATGGGGATCATTCGCCGAACCGATGTGAACCGATGGGGGGGGGGGCACCTGCACTTGGCGCGTGAGAGATATTTATGTAAATGGCGTGACAGTATCTCGGTAAAGTATGGGTCGAAAGAGTCCGAAAAACACCGAAATTCTGAAATAAACATTGTATACATATGTTTACCTTATCCAATCGCTAAAAGTTTCAAGGCGATCGTTTAGTCGGTGCAGCTATGGCGAGCATTGAAACTTTTTCAGAGGTGAGGTCACTTGAAACGACCTGGTGACCAGACCTCGAACGACCCAGGCCTGGAATTTTCTCAACATGTGCAGAAAAGATTATGATAAGGGTTGCAAAAACCGCTGTGCGCCGCCGTTTTTGAGATATTTGCGATAAAACCTGAAAGGGTCTAGCCCCTCCCCCCTCTTCCAGCACGGCGCGGGTTACCGACTACCGTCGTAAGGAGACTGAAGACTGACAAACAATTGTGAGTACATTGGAGAAGCCAACGTAACCTAGTGACAAACTTCAACAGACAACTTAAAGTCTAAAGACACAATAAAAGGCAATACATCTAGCAACACAAACACGACCGTTACAAATATCATCAAATTTAAAACGTATAACTGGACGTTATCAAATTCATAATATACTCGTAGGTAGGTATGTACCAGCTCTGGCACAAAATGACAGGACAACAGTCATCGGCCATATTGGCAAGGCCGCACACACTGCTGAATACTCTTTCCCTGCACAAACATGATTAGACATAAACAACACGCAGGCTGCACAAATTCGTAATTTCATGACTATAGAATCACCTACACTGCAAGATATAAATATCAGTCTTGTTGAAGTGCTCGAAATTTTTAAACAATATGGACGCAAACAAAGCTTTGTGGATCGGACCGTCTACGGTCTACCTGCCGAAAGTCTTATTAACTCATTCGCGAGCCACTAACACATCTTTTCATTAAGTCGCTCTGGTCCAGGGGTCGGCAAATGGTGGGGCATGCCCCCTTTGGGGGTAATGGAACCCCTCGGCGGGGGTAATGGGGGCCCCTGAGCATAGGCGGATCCAACCCAGAGTTTTGGGAGGGGCAAACCATCACAATTTATTGTTTCTTTTCATGCACTGTCATAGACGTAATGTTAAAAATGATGTCCTTTGTGGAGGGCAATTGCCCTATTTGCCCTACCCTGGATCCGCCACTGCCTCTGAGAAAGCCTTATCTTAGAATTAATGTCTCCCTTGATGGGACAGACATCACGCCTGTTTGGTCTCAGGGTTCAAAGATCGAACGCTAACCGTCGCCCCTCTATTGGCGTTTTCATAACAGCTAACGTAAACGGGGAGGGGCCGGTCGGACCCTAGCCTCCAACATTCGTTGGACCCCCAGGGGTCCAGCGAATTTCTCCCCCCATAAATTAGCGGCTGGCAAAACACCAATACGGGTGACGGTTAACTTCCTTGGCCATTGGGTGACTTAAGACTTTCAAAGGGTCAATGACAATTGTGTAGTAGATCTGATCAGCACCCGCTGTACCTTCTAGAATTGAAATGTTATGACCTTCCATGATCTCAAGAAACAACTGCCTAACAAGTCAACAGGAGTGCGTCTAGCGGCTGGTAGGGACAATTATGAGACAGTGCTTGCGCGCTTTATACAAACTGAATTATCGCAAGGCTACTAAATCAAATTGTATATGCGCGTTGGTATCTTCGGTCTTTGTTATTGTTTGGGCTGGCTGTGGCTGCCGACAGGTGTGCGTTTGTTATTTATTTTTGTTTTCGGCAGGAAGAGACATCTCATAATTTTGAAAAGATAACTTTTGCTATTGACACACGCTCAGAAGATTGATTGAAAATGTGACGAGATGAAAATATTCAAAGATCACTGAAGTGATCTGAAGAATCTGAGATACTGAAGTGAAAGTAGCAAGAGGTTGTTGTCCCAAATATAAATTGAAATAGATAGGTCTGGAAGTGCATCTATATAAATAATATTGCCAATGAAAGAATACCAACTGAGTTTATTGGTGGGGATCATTGTAGACAGTGTTTGATTGAATCAGAATGCAAACTTCCTGCTGGATTTACCATGTTCTGTTATGTTCACATAATAATGCAGTATGTGTAACTGGTTAATCTTCAGTATAAAATGTTATTAATATTTGCAGCCATGTGTTTTGTCAGATTAATCGGAAATCAAAGTTTGACTTGCATGCTGAGTGGGGTGCTTTGGGCACCAAGTTTGATGTTGTGCCCATACTCATAATGATAACTTATTTCTATATTTAGTTATTAAAACATCTAAAATGGAAGTGTAATATTATTATTCAATATCAATATTAACTGTCAATATTCTATGATTAAAGCAAGAACATAGTGACCTACCTTCTGATGTTTGTGAGATGTACCTAATTGAATATCAATATGAAGGGGCTAGCTTGTATTTCCTGCACTGAAAAAAACTTACTCCCCATTTTCTAATTTTAGAATGCCAAAAAGCACTCCTGCAATCGAATAATTTTATGACCTGGCATAAGCGCCTAAAACGGGGAGTTTTGGGGAATAAAACTAGCATATAGAATATATTTAGTATCCGAACGCTTATATTATTCGTGCTAGGGAGTAATTTTATGACGGAGGATAAAAGTATGCTATCTTTGGATAAAATTACACCAGATGATAATTTTATTAACTTAACACTAAAATTACTCCCATTCGGGGAATAATATTGCCATGCCAAAAAGCACTCCTTTTTTCGATAATTTTACCCCGGAGTAACTCCCCGGTAAAATCAAGCCCCGGTGTAAAAGTACCACCCCTGATAATGAGGGGTGATGTGATCATATTATGACCAAGTGTAAAATAAGGAATGCATTTAAATAATGTATTGAAACACCAACAATTGATTAACGAATGGTACCTGAGCATCAGCAGGTACATCTTAGTTTGGACGCACTTCCAGTGATGGCGCATTGCGGCCGACAGGGACGTAATTTTGCTTCCTAGTTGAGAAGCGGCGTCTCAACTGGGAGGCAAAACTTCGTCTCTGCCGGCCGCAATGCGAAATCACTGGAAGGACGTTCAAGGTCACAACTCACAAGGGCGTTATGGTTAACACTGAGGCTAACGAATAACATCTGCGCACAGAACCACCGCCACGGATGGCAGATAAAACGAGCGTGTATGGTTAACACTGAGGCTAACGAATAACATCTGCGCACAGAACCACCGCCACGGATGGCATTGGCAGATAAAACGAGCGTGTATGGTTAACACTGAGGCTAACGAATAACATCTGCGCACAGAACCACCGCCACGGATGGCAGATAAAACGAGCGTGTATGGTTAACACTGAGGCTAACGAATAACATCTGCGCACAGAACCACCGCCACGGATGGCATATAAAACAAGCGTGATCTGGGCTATGAAAGACGTACTGAGACTCATTGGCGTACTGAGACCGCCGCAGCTGAATTAGTCATTATACAGAGGCTCCAGTAGTGTGAGCCACACGTTGCGAGTCACTTGAGCCACAGGTGAGCCACAAGTCACGAGTCACTTGAACCACAGGTGAGCCACAGGTCGCCAGTCATTCGAAGTGGGCATCTCCGATGCTGGTTCTACACTACCTGGGTAACCTCCCACACCTTCTGTGATAAGCCAGATATGTTTACATCGAATCCCACACTCCGGTAAAGAATCTCGAACAGGGCCCTGCAGGGCCCCGTGAACTTTGTGTAGAAGACAGCGTGGGCGGCCGTCATTAGGGCCACGGTCTCCAACCTGGTGGCCGGCAGTTGGCAGACCACCACACCGTCCACCGATAGTTCCTCACCTGCCTGACGAACCCCGTTTCTCGGATCCGCCAAGGTGCCAATGGTTGTTCCACAACCATAGGCAAGTAGAGCTAGCAGCTCGTCGTCTGCCGTGAAAAAGAATATTGCAGTCAGTTGGCATCAATGCATATCGTACAAATAAACGTAAAGAAAACCTAGGAGAGAAACAAGGAACCGCGTTCGTACAGTAGCTGGCTATGCCATCTACAGTATCTGGAGACGATTCTTCGCTTCTTCCTGATTTCTTTTCACTCTCAAAATCGTAGTACGATGCGTAGTACGTTTGCGTAGTACGATACACTCTTACAACTAAACGTGCATAATTACAAAATAATTATACGTCGTTAAAATATTTCAGTGAAATAAGAAATTAGTACCCGATGTTCCGCTGTCATGGTTAAGTATGGAGTGCAAGTAGGTATCAAACTGCATGTAACTGTGGTATATTTGGAGACAATGAAGACAACCATGAATGGAGACAACCTGAATGGAGACAACCATGACTTTTCAATATCACTAGAGTTAAACAACACTTTTTGACTAATAGCAAAACCAACGACGATTGGCTGTCCAAAGGTGAGGTACAACATGTTGTCCCACCCGTCGTTAAAGTGCCACCTTTTTACGGTTTTCGGTTTAAAACGGTTTTCAGTAGACCTGACCCACCTATGACCTACCCTGAAGTCCGTTTCCCGAAATTCGTCCTAATTTTTGAGATATCCGCATTCGAACTTCACATTGATGCCATCACAAAAAGTGTGGGAGATGGGATGCTAACATGGTAATGTTACATTCCCATATTCCACACATTTGTGATGGCTTTAATCTGAAGTCCAATTGCGGATATCTT